TGACGTTTCGTAAGAAAATGGAATTGTTAGACCGTGGATTTTTTTTTTTGCTAAAAATGATTTTTATGGTATCGGCTTGAAAAGAGGTATTAGATAAACGTGTATCATTTGATGACTATTTGATTCCTTATTTGTGAAATAAAATCAATTAGAACCAGTTTCTATTAAATTGCTACACAAACTGATGGCATGCATAGTTCCAAACGTTTACCTATGCACATATCGTCCGGTTTTTTCGTAAGCATCAGAGGTACATAAAACTGAAACCAAACTTCCCTAAAATCGTAACCCCGGGTCGTTCTGTAGTATCAAAGAAAGAGTACTATTAAAACCGGATGTACAAAAAATAAAAACCGTCGGTACGTCGTTTCCACCTCCGCGTCGACGTGAAACCCCTTTGGAGATAATGAGTTTCCGCAAACTCTTTTTTTTCGTAGACGCGATCCGCGAATGCAAAAGAGGTCGCGTTGCACCAAGCCACAATTTGCGAGGCTCTGAAATCGCGCATGGAACGTATATTCCCGTACATAAGTCTTAAAATGGATTGTATCCTAAGGATCGGCGTATACTCAGAGAAAGCTGGGTGATTTCTACCCTTAAAATGATCCATGAGCAAAAAAAAATCTTTTCATTTTCCACGTGCTTGCAGATTCCAATTTCTTGGAAGTTTCTTACAATGCATGAAACCTGCAGTTTAAAATTGCATACTTTATTTCTACAAGATTTGTTTTAATTAATGATTCATTATGCTATTTCGATTGAAATACTCCGTGACGTCAGTGCGAGGTATTCCGAATTGTCGTAAAATTTATTACGAAGATGTATACAAGCCCGTGGCATCTCAGTTTTCTAAAGGGCAGGAATGGAATTCTTCGCGAACACACGAGGTAGTATGAACGCAGCACTCGTGCAGAGACGGGTTCGTGAAAATAGCGTGACGACGCGAACGAAGCCCGAGGCGATTTTTCTCGTCGACGAGCCGGGAAATTACGCGCGCGGTTTCGGGGTCGCGACAGGCTACATTTCTACCAGCTTTTGTCGGCAAATGGGTAACTGGTGCGCTCTTAAAAAAACAGAATTGCGGCACGAAGTCGGTTTCACCCCGTAGACCAGGACTGCTCGTGTTGAAGCTCGTTGATGAATTGGCTTTTCACAGAGAATTTTGTTTTATGTCAACGTGTCGTTTCGTTCTTTTTCAACGTTTGCGCAGTTTTCGAATGAGCGCTCAATGACTTCGTTCTGAATTTTTTTAAACGTAAGAATAAATAATGATATCTGAATTTAATTTATTCAAAGTTTCATTGCATTTTACTCCGTCGTGTTCTGAGTATAAAAAGAATAAAATTCAAGAATTGGTGTTAATGAAATAAGATGCATCATGATGCGTCTCCTTGGTAACGTGCATAACTAGAGGAACTTTGACATTTCTGAAGATACGTAACATAACGCTTTCGTGAAATTGGTGGCTCGGCTGGGAGTCGTGTAATCGCGTCTCTCATGAGAAAAACCCGTTCCCATTGTCACTAAAATTAGTCGGTGTTACAATATTACTACGCTTCCTCGCACTTGGCAAGATTACAGTCGCGCTCTCGCAACGGCTGCTACGACAAAGACCTTTAATTTACTAATTCCGTGTACGCGACGTTCCTCCAGGACAATTAACGAAACCTAATCAAGTACTCCGAAACGCATTACAACCAATTTGCCGTTCGTGAATATTTTTGGGGTGCGAGTTCATCGTCGTTTCAATTCTAATTCCCCAAAACTCGCATACATAAGGATTCATCCCCGTGATTCGCAATTTGCATTAAACGTTGAACGTTGTTGAACAGACGTTAAATACGGTAATAATAAATTGCATAAATAAAAGTTGAATCACGTAGTTACACACGTGTGAAACCATGTTTTCAGAAATATTCTTAGTAAAACAATTGGCAGATTATTCTGCTTGCAATTTTTGGAAACGCCAGTGAAAAACAATGATTCTCTTTTTATTACTGAATTGGTACGTGCAGATTTATTTTGCAAATGATCAATTCTCAGTAGAGTGACTCACGAATTTCGCTTGCGAACGTATCTCCAACTTCGTATAAAGTTTCCTAAGCTCCAAAATTAAACATAAGGAGGCTAGATCGTTCATTGACGTAATCTACTCGAACACGTTTAACTAATATCGCTTCGTTATTTTTACGACGGGCAATCTTCGATTTTAAATCACCCAGGCCTGAAATAATTCGTCAGTACTATAAAAAGCTCATTTTCCATAAAATTCATTATTAAGATTGAAATTCTCAGCCATTTCAGAGCACTTGGTCAGTGTCGAAAATTTCGAATCAAAGCAAATTCACTGGCAGTTAGATCGCAACTTAAAAGGTGAAGAGAACCATCCGATTAGGAAATTACTCACTGTCTTGCATCCGTCGGATCGAGAGGTCTAGCCGAGAATCGTGATCGATTGGCCGCGTCGAGGGCTCGCACCAACGCGACGTGATTCGTTCCCGCGGGTACGGTTCATTGTCGCGTTGTCAACTCGCGTTTTCCGACGATCGCGGTGCCGGATCTCCTTCTGCATGCTAATTTTGCTGGTGCAGTCACGTGCTTTCGCAAGTTCCTCGGCTTGGCGTCGCCCGAAGCCTTACACGAATTTATGTTCGTTATTATAAGCGTGGTATAGGCAAAAGAGTCGACAAAAACTCTTTTACATAATATTCGAACATGATATTCAGTTTTTTTTATTTCATAATTACTTCGTTTCGTAATAGCCAGCAATTTAGGTCGATAGACAGTCTGTAAGAGTAGAGCATTTCCGTTAAGCGAGGAACATTTTTTAATTTCGTTTGATCGATCGCAAGACGTATGTAAATCGGGGCGTAATTAAAGCGAGGACTCGGAGCGTGTTAGCTGCGAAATGAAAACTTCAAACAGCTCTCGGGATCGCGGGCAACTGGCTCTTTAAATGGAAATAAATTTTCCTTAACGCGACGGGCAAAGCCAAGAACGTGCAGTGCCGGCGAAAACTGCTATTAGTATTTTCGCTTAATAAGCTTCAATAACGTTAATTTCAGCAGATAATTACGTTAAAACTCTAATATAATTACGACGTGACTACTCGCGGAGCTTCCTCGCCTCTCGACTTTCAGAAAGATTTCTCCGAGACGCGATACAACTGCTGCAAAAGCCATTTCTGTTCTTAAAATTAGTAAATGACAGTCACAGTAATTTAAGTAATGACTTAAGAGCACGTCGTTCCGTTCGTATTATGTGATTTTTCCTCTTATAAAATTGGTTTTAATTGAATCGAACAACTCTGTACGAATAAACACTTTGTAAAAAGAGACTCGTGGAACAGGATAAAAAATATGGGATAGATTATACGGAAGAAAGATTACGTATTCCCTCTTGGAGGAAAGGATTTCAGATTTCCAACAATAATTCAAGCCCATCGCGTGGCAACTTCTCGCGAAGCAGTGTATTATAAAAGAGCCGTGCTAAGGGAGTTGCAAAAACTGCAGCCAGGATTTAATATCCAGGCTCCTCGTCCCTCCTCGACCCGGCTCGAGCACGCGTTCCCTCCCGACAGAGAAATTTCTTCTCCTCCTTACGAGGGAATGATACGGCTTCTCAAAAGAGAGCCGATGGTACAAGCTGAGAGAAATGGAAGGTGTATGCAGATTCTATCAGCGAGAATCACGTCCACCTGTGCCCCGTGGTCATTATCCCGTCTTCGTTTCGTTTATTTGCCCGTCCTTTTTTTTCCCTCTCGCTTCCGTTCGGTGGCGGCAGCGAACGGATTTGCGTGGAAGGGCCGGTGGTAAGGAAGGCACGGAAGGAGAGAGAATATTAAAAACTTTTTCCATAAAGCGTCTTCGCGAGGCGGCCGTTAGACCGAGCATGAAAGCCCGGTTCCTCGCAGTTTCAAGCGTATCTCTCCCACCTCTCGTCGTCCCGGTTTTTCCGAATTAGTTCTGACGGTTTTCCGCGTTGCGCCATCCGCTTTTCCTCTTTTCTTCCGCTCGCGCCGGGCGGCCGCGGGCGAAACGAGCGCGGCGCGCCGCGGCGTCTTTCGTCGCGAATAAACGCCGGGAAAAGGAAACCCAGTAGCGAAGCGAAATTTAATTTAGAGCGTTTCTCCGCGAAATCGATCGAGACCGAAACACGTTGCGAGGTTTCTACGGCTGGTCAGTGGAAACGTGAATTTATAATTTGTATGCTCCACAGAAATTAAGGGTTGATGATACAACCGCTGCTCTGCAGGATGAAAATTTAATTTGCGTTCCCTTGAGCACGGAGATCCTCGTAATTGCACCACTCGTAATTAATATTTTATAATTATCTGTATAATCCATTCCCATGTTTGATGAAATACTTTGTTCGACGTTAAATATTCAATATAAAATTGAAGGAAGAATTCTTTTATAAAAGAAGGATCTGTAAACATCGGAGAGAGCTGGTCGTGGAGTTAATTAGAAATACGTGTCCGCGTTCGTGGAGATGTTAATTAGGGAAATTGGTGAGCTAGTAACACGGTACGATGGGATATGTGACAAATTAATTGGAAAAGCATATGCAATTAGAGGGTTTATCAAAAGCATTGATAGAAGGACATACACGTCAGAACGGTCCGAAAGTTAATTAAAGATGTACATATGTGCGCGGCGTACAAGTTCCGTCGAAAGTGGAAGTCCAAAAATATAACGAATGGATCACTCCCATAAATCAATTTGATAAATTAATGCCTCGGTGCAACGAACTCGTTGCTGGTAGAATAACTTGACTATTCTCTAAACAGAAAAGCAGATTCGTCTGCTTTTATAAATATTTAGACAACGAATAAGTGAATCGCAGTCGAGTCTTGTCTCCATCATGGAAATTAATCCTTTGATCAACGGACAATAAATAATTTATGATTACGTCGCATGCAGCTATTTTAAAGATTGCTCATCATAAAATGATTATCGCGATCATTAAAATATTCAAATAGAAACGATAATTGGACGTACTTCCTTTTTCATCTCTGCTTTTTCCTCTTTCTCTTCTGTGCATCGTGCCCATGTGTCCATCTCTCCATTCCAAATTTGCCACTTTATATATTTCGTCGCGATCACGAATCACCGTGTTTTAAACCGACTTGAAACGCGATTCGGAATCGCTGGGAATAAGTCATTAAATAATCGAGCACATCGTTAACGAATACGTCTCCGTCGACGAAGCGTCTAATCGTCGTCGACTGGTTCCGAGAACGAAACGGTCGATCCACATCTCTCACTGCTCCCGAGCAAGAAGCTGGGACTAGCTCCGAGTGATGGATAGCCGATCTTCGGCAACGTGCAACCCATTCATCTCGAAACGGAAAACCGAAAGCCTTGTCGCGCTCGTCCTCGCCCCGAATCGCTCAACTCGCGGTTCTGTTCTCCCCTGTTTTTCGCCTCGTCCTCCTCTACGTCGTTTTTCTTGCCTCGCGCGGGCGATTGTTTCCTATCGCCGGCAACGATTGCGTTTGATCTTTTATAAAACAGACGGTACGATCTGTCTTCTCCTTCTCGTTTCACTCGGACCGACTGATTTTTTAAGCCACTCGCGTCATCTTTGTAAGACGTACGACAGACGTCTTCTCGGAGGTATTCTTGCAAGCGTCGTATCCTTGGCATTACATCAGTGCGTGTTTCCACGCTGTTACTCGTGATTGTTTTATAACAGAAGTAAAATCGTGCGAGCCGACATTTGGCAAAAACCATAAATTCTGTTCCGGTTACGACTTCGAACGTTTTAAGTGTCCCTCGGTGCTTTCAAATTAAACACGGCTCGCCCGAGAACTTTGAAAGGCGACACCGTTCGTCAATTAACGTGATATTTTTATTACCGTGTGTAAAACAAACAACAAAATCGATAGATTCGATTTTAACACATAATCAACACGAATAAAATATTTCCAAATGACTGTACCTCGACGATCTTTGATATCCAAATTGTTAAAGCGAGAATTTAGGAATGAAAATAATAGAATGCTTTAATATTCACTAGGATTTGAATCAAGTATGTTTCCCATTTTCCGATAGAACTTCTCGGGCAACCTTGATCACTTTTCAATATGCAAACTGTACATGAAACGTTTCACTATTATTTAAAACAGCATCGATCTTCTTTTTTAAATCTTCCTGTACATTTCACAGAATCACTTCGTATCTTCGACGAAAGAACTGCTTCAGATTTTCACTGAGCCATTTTTGAAAGTTCACCACGGTCCACAGAACTTTCGATCCTCACCGAAACGTTTCGGGCTTCGCCTGATTTTCCTCTCGACCTTCCGATTCACGAGATGAACGCGTTTATTCGGCGCCTGGGAAAATTGAAAATCGACGAGGAAAAGAGGGCAGGAACACGGCGGTCGTTTTGAGCCTCCGGCCAAAACTAGTTCGCGGGTGGCTACATCACTGTCGAAGCCCGACCGGCCCACTCCTTCTTTCTCCGGTCGCGCGCGCTACTATTTAAATCTTTTGTAGTAGCTGGTTGGGACGACCAGCTTCAAGAAATACGCCGTCGTCACGTGGCGACGCTCCCGTCGTCGCTGTCCATGTTTTTGTATATCCCCGTTTATACTCGGAAATTGTTATGAAACGTATAGTCGAACGGGGGTGAGTTGACGTCTCCGAGGGTCGTCTCAGGGAATCTTAGGGGTGGTTTCAGTGGCTTCCCGGTGGTCTCGACGCTTCGAAGTCTGCTCGTCAAAATTTCAACGTCGCGTGCTTGAGGTTTGCCTACCCTTCGTCCCAGTCTTTGATCAAGTCTTCATTTTTTGTGATAGTTTGCCAAGAATTCTTGGCATTGGGAAGCACTTTCCCTTACTCGTTACTAGACCGCTGATTTTATACGGAAACTAAATCTACAGAGAACATAAACACTGCAACGTGCAATACACGGGTTTTATAATTAGAAAAAGCTGGCTACCCTTTACGAACAAAATTATTTCGGCAATTAAACATGAAGGTTTAAGAGAAATATACTTTATGGACTTTTTACAGTAATACTTTTTATTACTGAGCTTTTCCGTGGATACAGTCTCGTAGGTACCTTGTACAGTCTCCTTAATTAGAGCAATTAAACTGGTCCTACACTAACCGTTTTATGATTTCGGTATCGTTCCTTATGCTCCTTCTTTATATCTCCAGTTTTATTCCTTTGTTAAATCCGCGCTGTTTTGCAAACTTTTCCGAGATTTCATTTTATCAGAGGATCGATTTCTTGTTATTCTCAATTGAGATATATTTCCTTTCCACGTACATATTTTCCTTTGAGATGCTCTCGGCCTCTGAATCCCGTCAATAAGTTTCTAAAAAAAGACACCCTGTCTCGATTTTCGTATCAGAAGTATCAACAACACGATCAGTTCTTTGCAATTGTGTTTTGAAGATGTAGTTTTTACGAAAAGTCTCGATTGATTCATCGGTTCTTAGGAAAATATGGACACGCTGCTTCTGTCTTGGGCGAGAGAGAAATACAGGCGGGAAAGAAAATATTACACGGACGACGATTCGTTGATTAAACCTGCTCGTTTCTCTCGCGGTGCAACGGTAATCTGTCAAGCGTTTTAAAAATGCCTGAAAATAATCCGGTATGACGCAAGGGGCCGGGCATCTGGTCGGCTGTCCCTCGAAAGCTTCGCCGGAGTCACGGTACATGACTCGCGTACGTAGACACCACTCGTACAGGTAGAAATAGCATTAAACGCATCACGAAGAGACGAATAGTTACGACCGGCGATTCGGTCCGAATTAGATCGCTTTAAAGCCCGTTTCACGAGCGAATCTGTTTTTTTCAAATCCAACGATACGTTATGACGATTGCGACGATAGAAATGATTTTCAAACAAAATGAAATTTTATGGTTTCTCGTTTAAAAATGTTATCAACAGGCTGCGGATTCTTATACAAAATAAAACATCTGTCACGGCGATTTAGAAAATGGTTTGTTGCTCCGATCATACTTTAGAGACGATCGCATTTCATTTTTGAGGTTTTATGTGTTCTTGGATATGTAGTGAATTTTTTATAAAATTATAAAATTG